CACGTTGCCTCCGTTCAGGATGGAGATTCCCAGTTTGAGGGTGCAGGTCACCATCGGACCCAGACGACCTGAGGGACGGAGAGAGAAGCTGAAACACAAGCTACAGAATCTGAGAGATAATAAATAAATGACCTGGAGAACCACGGGTCAGCTGACCGTACCTTTACTGGCACTGATCATCTGCAAAACCATCTCAGCTGCTCCTCTGGCGTGAAGCCGTGCCTGCTGATACAAGATCTTCTGCTTCTCCATCTCCTTTTCCTGAAATCCAAACCCATTAGAGACCAGGTGAAGTCCAACGGTTCTCAGACTTTATTTCTCCGCCCGTGTTAACGTGACAACGTGTGCTGTGTAGGAGGTGAAGTACCTCAAACGTCTTTTCTTTGCCTTCCTCCTCTTCCTCCTCGTCCTCTGCACAGCTCTGAGGACAAACAGTTTCACTTTTATATCAGACATTTACTGACTTCATTCTGTGAGTGAACTGTAAAGGTCGGTACCTTTGCCATCATGTCTGCGTACGCGATGTACAACGGATCGACCTCCGCGTGACTGAGGGGTGAAATGACACTCGATCACCGTCTGCACAACAGGAAATGTTCAATGTGTGAAGCGGACGCGGTCATGCGCTCACCTCCTCTCTGTCAGAGCGTGGTGGCTGAAGTGGAGGATGAGCTGGTGGGGAGGGTCGGGCTGGATCTCAGCCACCTCCTCCTCCTCCTCCTCCACGATCTTTATGGGCGTTTTCTGCAGGAGTGCACAGACGTAAGAACTTGGCCCTGAATCTCAGCTCAGCTCATGACTCTGACTCAGATCATTGAACAGTGAACACCATTCAGTCACATGGTAACAACACTGTCCTCGTGAAGTACAAACATGCTGCTGGTGATCCATGGAGAGGACGGACCTGGACTTCACGTGTGAGGATGATGATGAACCAGTTCTCAAACCCATGCATGTTAGCAGACAGGTGCAAGCAGGAAGCCATTCTGTGGAGTGACTATGAACATGAAGAATGACCCGGACAGAAAAAAAGGGCATCTGACACCGACTGACTGAACCCTGAACGTCACTGGTCCAAAAGGGTCGACACACAGATATAAACCCATGTTGGAACAGCTCTGCGTCACAGCAGCGTCCCCGGATCTGAAGCTGTGTTTTACCTGTACATTTCTGAGTATAAAGATATACAGTAGAGTAGAAACCGCATTTCTGGAAAAGTTGGTGAACTTCCTAAAAACACAAGACAAACTAAAATCTGTAGTTTGTTGATGTTTTAAAGTTTCCGTTCAAACCTTTCATTTTATATGTATTATTTTAAAAACCGTCCTTCAAGCAACAACATGAGAAGATATTTTATTTCAATGTTTTATGAGTGAAAAGTTTAGCTATCAACAGTGAAAGAGCTGCCGAATGTTCACGACCTCTGACCCCTCAGCTACAGTTTTACTGTATTTAAATCAACTTTTCTTACGTTTCTCTGTATATTGTTGGAACAATAAGAACTAATGACGGCAGGAAACAAAATCTTTTCTTCCCCAGTGTGTTAGTGTTAGATAAATAAAATTTAAAATTTAAACATTCTGAAGATATGTTAAAATGAGTCAACACTTTGGACTAGATACTATTCTCTACTTAATTATCAGTTATCCTTAGATTTGAGATTTTAGCTTCTCTGCATTTTTAGGAGGTGCACCAACGTTTCTGGAAGTGCGGCTCGTTAAATGAAATGTGGTTGTCACTGTCACACGACGACGCGAGCATGCCACTGACGCCACGGCCACAGGACGCACTGTAACGCCACCGTCACACCCACACTACAAACTTACAGAGGACAGCGAAAAAACAACTGATGGGTTGGATCCAGATCTGACAGCCAAACAGCTACGGTCTCCTCACTCCTTACCACTGCCGTCAGAAAGGCAAAGCCTGCTTTTCTACGAGCACCGGAGCTGGCCCTGTGTCTCCTGAGTTGGTCATGCAGCCTCTGACACCTGACAGACTTCTGTTTGAAGGGCCTCGCCCGCCTAGAGCGCTGGCCCCTGGCCGCTTTGGGCGAGGTCCCCGCCCGGGCGTGCTCCCAAGATTCGACAGGCGCTGAGCTAAAGAAGCATTCGGCAGACAGGACTGGCAGGGGTGTGCCAACGCAGGGCACGCGGGGCGGGGGTAAGATGAGCCCAGTACTTACTGCCAGATCCTGAACTAGTTTCTCCTCAAAGGAGTACTCCTCTCCCTCTATCCAAAGCCTCTGATAGACCGGGATGAAGAGGTTGATAGCGCGATGCCTGGGGAAGGGGAAGGTGAGAGGAGGTGGGGAGGAATGGAGAGGTGTGGGGAGGGAGGTAGAGTGGCATTAGGGTGGGTTCTAGTGAGTTCTTGGAGGAAGTAGGCGGGAAAGATGTAGGGGGAGAAGGTTGAGGGGTTACAGGAAGTGCAGTTCAGGCAAGGTGGTGATTGGTCAATGTGGGACCCACTGGCTCTTCTGACTGGTCACATTTGGTCAATGCAGTTATTTCCATTAGGTTTGTAGAAAAGCATGCACACTTTAGTGAGGAGTGACGGTAAATCTGTGGAAGAAAAACTTGATTTCTTGTCTAGAATTTTTCTGAATGACTTTGACATTTTCTAATTAAAGATAAATCAGAAAATGCATCAGCTCTGGCAGAAAACGGTCGGATACGCAGTCCATTTTTACAAACATAAACAACTGGGACTTTACATGACAGAACACAGTTTTGTCCACAAACAAGAAACAAATTTCTCTCCCTTTTTCATTCAGTTCCTTAAAGCTGCAGTGCACAACATCTGCTCACTCAGCTCGTCTGTTGGCCCCTCCACCAAGATGACACGTCTTAAGTTACTTAATTATCATCATGGAAAATATGCAGTGACCAAGTCTGTTCTAGCCTGATGCTATACATGAAAATGACTAGCCTTAACAGCTAAAATGAGCTCAAAACAAACAGCTTCAGATTTTGCATCCAACACATCTGAGGTGTTAATGAGACTAGTTTGCATCTACACAGGGAGTGATGGAGTTTGTTGTCGACAAAGTTGAATCTTTTTGACAACTTCTGTCTGTGTCTAGGTACAGGTTCATCTGTGGAGCTGAGGTTTACTTTAACTTGATACCAACATGTACGACCAACATTAGGACAGTGCTACAAGCTAACCCTGTTCAGCTAAGACAATGAGACAACTGTATGAACTGAGGTATATCCAGCACTATCTCGTATCTTCGTACCACTCTGAGCCCAGTACGACCAGTGGGCTTCACGGTGTTAAACACTGCAGCTTTAACATTTTTAACTGGGATTCAAAACGGGCGTCTAAATCAGTTTATCTCATTTGTATTTTTTTTTGTTCTCGTACTGGCTGACCAATCAGAATCATCAGTGCTGAAACATCTGGTTGCTAGGCAAAAAATCGGTCCACAGCCTGGTGGATGAAGAGGGTAAAGGGGGGGTTGAAGAGATGAAGCGTTTGGCCCGTGGTGTCACTTTACCGTCAGTAAGGAGAACAGGTGGTCAAAGCTGGAGGCTTTGAACGCCCTTTCCAGCCAAACCTCCCGATAGCCATTCAGGAAGTAATTATTATTTTTGTATCTGGGGGAGGATGAGGAAGTGTTACGCAAAAAAACAAAAAGAAGAAAAAAAACAAAAACAAAACAAAACAGAGGAGAGAATGTGGTTAAGGAGGTGATGTGGGCAGTACATGGGAACACAGTCAAGATTCACTCCCCCTCTCTCCCCCCTCTCTCTCCCCCCACGGCTCCTCATGACAACATGATGTTGGTTTGTTACAGGTCAGGTTTAACGGCCTCTTCACTGGGTTGTTGGAAAGATAATGTCAATATGTCACTATTGACATCGTTCCGTTGGACAGAGTGTGTGTCTACGGACTGACCTGGGCAGATTGTAGAGCGGAGCCATGCGGAAACAGGCCACCACGGCTCGCTTACGCTGTTTGGACATGAGCTTCTGCCACACACACTTCTTATTCCTCAGAGGCTGCTCCACCTGGAGGAGAGCATCATGTAAAGGTAAATAAAAAACAAAACAGTCGTGTAGCGAAAATAAATAAAAATGTGGTAGAACATTTAGCTTGAATGTAAAATTAACATTTTGAAAAATCAACCTTAACTAGTCAGAAAGTCTTTTGTTTGATTTAATAAAAAAATGTGAGAAGTAACATAATAGCTAACAGCTAATTTAAATTATTTAATCGTTTAAGACAGTAGAAAGTAGCAGAATATTTCAGGGATGCACAATAACTACACTGATCCAGTGGATCTCAGATATATCACGACATCGATACTATAAAAAAAAAACTCATCTTTGAACCGACAGTAAAAACACTCTTATCACCTGCTCCAGGTGGAAAACTGCTGCAGAGATGCTCTGGATCCGACCCACGGTGTGTTCTGGATCTGCGGGTCCTTCGCTCTTCACCACCACGTCCTTGTAAAGGTCCAACTGCCACTGAACGGCCGGGTCCTCCGACTGCCACACAGAGACGAACAAACGGACAAATGAACTGACGAAAACAGGACTGGGCTTCTGCTGTTACAGTAACTGACCTTGTCCTGAAGATGAAGGTTCTGACGCAGGTATTCCTTCACTTCATCGTCTGTGTCTTTCTGTGGAGGCAAAACAAATACTTTTTTTTTTACAACAAAAAGTATAAATGATCCAGAATGTCTTTCTGTGGAGGCAAAACAAATACATTTTTTTTTACAACAAAAAGTACGATGACAAAGCATCCAGAACACCATCTTACCAGACTGTAGCGTATCTTGGCCAATGAGATGAGCTCCTGGTCCCCCGCCGTGCACATGTTGAGGCCGATGGGCAGCATCTTCTTCAGGGCAGAGACGATCAGCGAGGTCTGGATGGAGTAGTATTCACCGCGGCGACGTTTGTGCTTCCTCTCCTGGTCTCCGCCCGTCTACAGAGAAAAACAAGAAAAGTTCATCCACACATCACCGTGGGGGAAGGGGATTCTCAAAGTGTGGTGCGTGGGGTCTGGAGTGTTTGTTTACGTGTTGTTTTTTTCCACAAAATAAAGACAGGTGAATAAACATTTCCTTTGGAGAATTTTAAACCAAAAGCAGACATTTTAATCAAAACATAAACTCAGCTGATCAAGACAAACGACACATAAAGCTCTCTGTAATTTTGTGCAGTAAATCCTCTCTCCAAGATTATGATGTGATGAAGTTTTTCCTGCACTCTGATCAATCATGTCAAAACTCTAAACAAACGGGCCGCGGTAAATAAATAAATGTAGCAGTGGCTGCCAACGTCCAGGAATATGAGCCGACTTCAGTCAAACAAATACCTGCATCAAACATCGAGTATCATAAATCCTCGACTTACAGAAGAAAAATAGGAGAGAAAAGTGTATTTTTACAACATCTCACATCCACATCCTTGACTGGTTCAGCCCATGTCTCCAGGGAAGTGATGAAGACAAAAAGAAATGCTTATAAAGGACTTTTCCCATCATTAGTCTTTAAAAAACAGCAGCCAGAACAGGAGCAGGAACAGGATGATGATCCATCGAGAAGTTTTTGGAGATTTCCAAAGTGCTGACACAGTCACGAGGAGAGAAGTGACATAAATCTAAATGGAACCCAGGGAACGAGGAGAGAAGTGACATAAATCTAAAGGGAGGGACGCTGACGTTCTCTCCTCCGTCTCCTGGGTCTGTGACTAGGAGAAGATGAAGAACCTGGTGAACGTGACCTTTCCTCAGAGGTCGTTTAAAACAACTCACACAGGATTTAATATTCATTCATTCTTTTTTAAAGTATTGGCTCTGAGGTAGTTCATGAAGTATGAACGTCAGACTGTGTCGTTTGATTCTGTTCCCCAAGAAAAAAAGAAGTGACCGTTTAAAGGTCATTAAATTGATTTTTGAATCCTGTTGTTGTTGAAGTCGTTTTTTTTTCCACCCTCGTCACTTTCGTGTGTTATGTGAAATCCCACATCTCTACCTTGGACATCTTTGCCTTGGCCTGTCCAGTCAGGAAGCCCAAGTTGTTGATCTCATTCTGAACCACGAAGTTCTGCTCCTCACGTTTGAAGTTCTGCAGAAAAAAAGGGGAAGATGAATCCTCTTGACTAACGCTGTTCTATAAAACACTACCTGGTTAAAAAAAAACAAAAAAAACTTACATGTGACTTGCACCAGAGGATGAAGATGTCGGCCACCATCCTGAAGAGCTCAGTGGAGTAGGCATCAGGTTCCTTCAACCACCTGGACCTGGAAGGAGAACAGAGAGGAGGAAACTGGTCGAGGATCAGGCCTCTAACACGAATGAACGTGATGAACGTGGAGATACTGACTGTCCAAATCTGACCTGGCGTGGGTTGAGATTTCATACCTGTTGTTATCCACGTAACGTATGAGCATGGGGTAGAAGGCGTAGAGATCTCTGCAGAGAACAGCGAACTCATCCAGGATCAGCAGCTCCGCCTCCTGGTTGTCTCCTTTACTGTCAGCCCTCAGCAGCTCTTCTTCTGCCACGACCTACGCACGAACAAACGTCAATAAAAGTCAATCTTTCACCATCTCAGAAGTGAAAATGATTTTTATTTAGACTCTCACCTTCACCGTCTTCTTCTTCAACTTGTCCAGTGTGGGCAGGAAGTGGGTTCTCAGCAGATCCGCTCCAGCTTTGCAGATGATTGGCTGAGAGTAGACTGAAAGGAGACGTTCTCTGTAAATATACCTGAACAATGACTACAATGAGACCTGCAAAAGTCACAGAGACCCCTAGTGTCCAGGAGGGGAGACTGGGGTCGTCATAACTTTTTGTAATCTTTCCAAACGTACTGCAGTAAAATCAGGTTGTTTTGGATGAAGAATAGATCAGTAATGGAGATAAACCAGAATAGTTTGTCCTCATTTCCTATTTTCTTCACTTTGTTTGAGGAAGGGATAAAGTATAGTTTGTTTTTAGATTGCATCCATAAACTCTAGAAGCTGTTTTTGAGGAAGGGATAAAGTATAGTTTGTCTTCTAGTTAGTCTTCTATTTTTAAAATAAAATAAATGTCTGGATCTTTGGAATGTGGCATCTGATTTAGAGGAAAATACAACAGGAAAGAATGCATCAGAGTTCACTGGTTGCCAGTGATTGGCTGTCAGGTTGTCCAATAGGAGCCTTGTGTGTTGTCAACACGTCAATATTAAGATTTACTTCCATAATCTGCAGGTTTTTAACCAAGGTGTCACTGTTCATACCTGCGATCCTCTTCATCCACGGGGCCTCGTCGATGCCCAGGTTGTTGTTGAGGATGCGCAGGATGTTTCCCAGGATGATGCTGAGATGTTCCGACGTCACCATGGTGCAGCACTTAGCGTCTGGAGGAGAGTTTTCTGGACCTTTCTCCCACCAGTAGGACAGATAGTTACACAGCATGGGGAAGATGACCTCGATGACCTGCACCGGAGCAAAAGAATCAAACATACATCAACCGAGTGGAAACAGTCATGTTTGAATATGTGATTTACATCACTGTAACTGTTTATTCATGCAGTGATTTATCCCAGCATGCCTCAGTGAAGTCAGCTCCACCTGAAACCAAACGTATAAAGAGACTAAATGTCACAGCCGTCACCGGCCGGGGACAAAATGTTCGCTCAGAAAGAATGGTTTCTTCCTCCTTCTCAACCTTATAAATCAACAGCACATTTGTACAGAGGGAATCATTTACACCTCAGTGGCTCAGCATGGTCTTTATACAGTTAGAAAAAATATCCCATCAGCCCCTTGCAGACCTGCGGCATGTCGCTGTAGCGCGCTCCAGACTCCGAGACGTCGCTGACGTCCTTCAGGAGTCGGTCAAGACGAGGCATCTCTGGACACATCTCCTCCACCGTGTCAGGCATGCTGAGGACTGAGGAGAGGAGAAGAAGAAGAAAAACACATCGGAATGACACGAAAAAAAACAAAAACATTTGAAATCCTTGAAGACGCAGTGTGAACTCACTGGCTCTCTCTCGGGGAGTCTTGGTGTTGAACACAGACAGTGGGTTGTGGGCGTTGAGGTCCGGCTCCAGGAAAGCTACAGGCATGGCTCCAACCAAGGTGGCAAGACTCTCACCCAGAGCTGGAAGATGTCTGAAAAAAAAAAGATATTTATATATTTATATATGTGAAACACCACGACTAGTTATTAATTTAATAATTACTACCTGGGAATCACTGGGAAGGTAGAATACCCAAGATGATCAACAACAAGAACAAGACTAGTTTGACCTCTGTGACCTCTCACCTCTCCACAAAGATGTTCTTTCCTGTTCCCAGGGAGTAGAAACAGGTCAGGATCCTGTAGCAGGACAGCTGCACGTCGTCCACTGAAAAACAAAAAAGTCCATGGAATGGTCAGCATTTAAAAATCTGACATTTTGCTGATGCAGCTGAAATGGACAGAATGGGAATTCAACCGTCAGCCCTTGGTTAATGTGACTGCATGTCACAGCATCAAAGACTTTGTTGTTCAAGGTTGGTCAGGAATAAATGTACTTGATGTGCAACAGGAAATCATCGTGAAAATGTAAACGTGTGCAACAATCTGTTGTTTGTCAGACTTCAACAGCAATCGAGCAGAAAAGTTCAAAGATATTGGATTAATATTGGGAAATATCATTACAAATCCCATTATAAATATTTATATTAACGTGTCATGTATTAGTTGTTAGTTGTTGTTGTATTTTGTGTTTCCAGACTCACAGAGCAGGTCCACTCCAAACTCATGGTTCTTGATGTGTTCAAACAGGGCAGTGAGGATGGGCAGCAGGGCCACGGTCACGTAGTTGATGCTCTGACTGACACTCTTCATCTGGGCCCGTGACTGCAGGAACTTCCCCAGTTTCAGCATCTCCAGCAGCTTCTCCAAGTCCTCGGCTGCGTTCTCAAAGAACGTCCTGAAGGCGGCTTTGACCAGCTCTGAGCCGGACTTCATCACTGTCCTGGGAAACAGAAGGGGGAGGAAACGTGTTTAATGGGATCAGCGACTGCGACCTCTTGTGGTGATAGATTTGCACGGCAAAACGTTTGCAAAATGTAGTCTGTCACAGACAAACGAAGGAAACACTGTCTTTAATGGTAATTTAAAAAAATCACTGGATTCATTTTGTTTTTTTCATTCCTTGTTCTGTTTCATTGAGATTTTGTTTTTTTCATTCCTTGTTCTGTCACGAGTGTTTCATTGATTTCTACTGACTTTGAACTCTGTCCTTACCTGGTGTCTAGTGAGTGAGTGAGGATGTGCAGGCAGCTGACCATCATTCCAGAGTCACTTCCTGTAAGAGACGATTACTGTGGACGTGAGACTGAGGCGCAGAGACACAGGAGACACAGGAGACACACACACCAACACTGTTCGTCTTACCAAAGAGAGAAATCCTATGTCTGACAAGAGCTGCCAGTTTACAGAAGAGGCTGGAGAACAGGAGGAAGAG